CAACTCTTCAGTGACGTAATAAAAAGAGTACGAGGAACTATGACCCCATTTTGGAAATGAAAACGAATCCCCTTCTTATCTTTTTTTTTTAATTTGAACAACAATTTCCATAAACTTAAGAATTCTTATCTTGATAGACCAATAAAATTTTAATGATACTAGTAAAAATCTCAAAAAATAACATAAAAACAGATAATCTGCACACTAGCCTAAAGATAAGTAATAAGTATAGAAATACATTATATTGTTTTTACGATGATAGAAAATTCATCGTTTTTATGTCATCTATACAAATAAATAAAATTGAAGTGTCTGTTTGTAATGTCAAAATAACAGCTTTTTACTAAATTTATATGAAAGTATTTACGGTACTTATAACATAAATAAAACAAATTTTTAAATTTTGTTTGTCTGTATGTCTGTTTGTTACGGTTAATCTCCGAATGTGCTAACCGATTTAGACGGGATTTTCACTGCCAGATAACTGATGTTATAAGGAATAACTTGGGCTACTTTTATTTAAGAAAAACAATTAAGGTTCCGCGCAAAAAAAATTAAAACCCGTGAAATGAAATCGTAATAAATTGCACTGAGGTGGTCGCGGGGAACAGCTAGTTTTTAAATCATGTACAAAAACAAATAGAAGTATTTTACTAATTTTACATATTTTAAAACGCAATGACAATGGAAGTGGGTAAGGGGTGACAACTTTGAATCCAGCTATCCTGGGCGGCAGCAGCATATGCTACGTCAATACTCTTTATTTTAAACCTTATGAATATTTGTTTGTTTGTTTGTGTGTCTTCTATACAATTATTTGCAATTCATCCAATTACGAAGAACCTTTTGTGAGTTGTGTGGACGCACGCGAAGGCTTCTGACAAATATATTACTAATTATTTGTTTGCTCGTTTGTTCGTCTCTATTCGTTTCTCTACAATTCATCTGGAATACGATAAAACATTGCCAGATGCAACTAATAGCATTATTAAAAAGTTATTAAATATCCATCTTAATTCATGATCCCATTATTTAATCCTCTGTACGGTTGCTAATTATAATTTTTATTTTTTATTTCAAAGAAACATTTTGAAGTATTTTGATGAATTGTGAAAGATTCTTCTTCTCCCTCAGCAACTCGGTATTACTAATTTATTAGAGCCCACTATAGAATTGGTCTCTCACACTGTTAAAGGAAGAGAAGGATAATCGATACAAATAGCAGGCGAATCGGCTATAACCGTACCAGACTTTAAAATCTATAGATCTTTAGTAAAATATACACTTTAAGAAGTCATAACTTTGGTGCTAAACGGTCGCCATAATTTCATAGTACGCAAGCAACCCGTGACCTATCTCCACCAAGTTGGCACCCATGGAATTCATAATTGCAATTTTTACCACACCCTCCGCGGTGAATTAAAATAGCGTGAGGATACATGCATGTGTAAAGAATAAAAATGTTTCGAATAACATGTATAGTCCGCAAACGTCAAACAAATCCGGCACCGTATAAAAAAAAATATAAAGTTAAAGTAACAGCCTTTAATTGTCCCACTGCTGGACACACGCCTCTTCTCAGTTCTGTGGGGGTTTTAGGGCAAGAGAGTTGGTGGACTTCACATGTCTTCGAAATATATTTTTTCTTATTTCTCAAACATGCAGGTTTCCTCACGATGTTTACCTTCACCGCCGAGTACGTGGTAAATCAGCACTTAAAATTGCAATTAACAATATCATTGGTGCCAGCGGGGATCGAACCCTGAGTTACCACACCTCCACCGTAGAAAGAAAATTAATTTATAGTAAGTATAATAAATAAAACAGATATGATTCATACATAATGCTGACATGATTCTGGCATTTTATTTTCAAGAATAATTATGATATTGTGATATGATATGTGATATGATATCAAATGTTATAAATTACACTACAATGACGGAACTATAACAACAATTAATTTAAAATATCTGTTTGTTTTTAAACAGAACCAAATATTTCCATCTAAAGTTATTGTATTTGTTACAATTATAAGAGGTTAACATCTACAGCGGTTGCTTGGAATACCTTTAAATATGAAAATTTACTGAAAAATACGAAAATGGATCATGGAGTAGAGAATGGAGACACGTGTATACGGTTATACATAATTAATTTACTGTACTATAATGTTTGTGGCATATACCTTAATCAATGTTTAATAACGAATAACTTACATCAATCATTGATCCTTCCAAAACTAGGTGTTTGTTCCTACAAAGGAAGAAATGTGCAACCACGGCCTTGTCCATAAATTAGCAGACTGATTGTGTAAGGTTTTTGTAGACTTACTGCAAACGAGTACACAGTCCACCTGATAGTAAGTTAATGTTATGGGACTTAGACACCTACATCAATCATTGATTAAGAATCAAAAGGCAGACGTTGTAACCCATGAGGACTAAGATGGTAGACCTCGTTACCAGGAAAAAGGGTCTCCGGTTCTCTACACTCACAATACGTAACACAGCAGCATTGTGCTACCATTTACGCAAGTAAAGTGGTTGCTGTGGCCCATAGACATCTACATCTATCCACGTTTGCGAATCAAAATGCAGATGCGTTGTCACCCGTGAGGACTAAAATGGAATGCCTCTTTTCCAGTAAAAAGGGTCTCCGGTTCTCTACACTCACCATACAAAACACAGCAGTGTTAAGCTGCTATTTTATGCTGGTATTCTCAGAGAGCGTGGTCCTCCCCGGTCGAGGCGACCCATTCGTGCTACAACTATAATATAGCTGCAGCGGGCTCTACAACGTCATAAAACTTGCGGAAAAAGTGGGCATATTCCAATTTTTACATTTTTTTAAGTGTAGGCTAAGATAAGTAGATTATCAAATCAAAGTTAGCAACATCTACATGTAGCAACTGATAACAACATGATACATTGTTTTATCATTTTCGTATATTTTTATCAATTTCATTATATAGAAAATATATTCATCATATCATCGTGTATTAACGTACGATGCTATTTATTATTTTAACCTGATAGAGCCACGCTGCAGCTATATTATGGTTACAGCACGAATAGGTCAGTTCGAGCGGGCAGGGGCCACGCTATCACAGAATAGCAGTGAGAAATAGAAGCTTAAGTCCGGCCACATACATTCGGAATTCCGAACGGTTCAGCCAAATACAGTCGGAATCCTGATTTTCCCGCAAAATTTCGAACGGAAAACTACTGTACGGAATCCCGAATAGGAATTTCGAAAGTATGTGGCCGGCCTAATGCTGCTGCACTTCAAACGGTGGGTGTGAAAAAAAAGACACCCTTTTTACTGCTTATTCGGTAATTCTCACAGGCATTGCGTTCAGAGACTTTAATATTATGGAATATTCAGCGTTCGTAAATTATATATTAATTACCTACATAAAACGTCCTTATCTTCTTAACAAAGTTGCTTTTAAGGTTCCTTATCAATGCCTGTGAATTCCAGTAAATAAAATATTTAGTAGACCCCATAGTAGTACTAACCGTGTACTTTACAGTTCGACTTTTAGCCGACTTCAAAAAGGAGGAAGTTCTCAATTCGAGTGCGTTTCTTGTATGTATAATGCCTCGTTTTCAGTAAAAGGATTTTTGGATCTCTACAATCACCATGCGAAACATAGTAGCATTAAGCTACTATTCCACTCTGGTATCATTTATACAAATACTTGCTTCAGGGCCAATTTTTCAAATATCAGATTAAAGTTTACGATTAAATAAGTTATTACCCGACTAAATATAAAAGTGAAATCAATTGTTTTAAACAAACAACCGTAGTTTCTAATTTGTTAATGCTGTATTGTATCTCATGAATAATTTAGTTTTACGGATTTTTAAAACGTGTTGAAATATAACAGTAGATAGTTCTTGACTATTTTGCTGATAATATGAAACTTTATAAATGATCTATTTCAATTATGGCTATGGAGTATATTTCAAAGTCTTATTTATTAATTTGCTTGCAAATTCATACTTTCAGTTGATAAAACTTTACCAAGGCCCAGTTTAAATATTAAGTTGTTAATACATAAATAGTAGTAAACCAATAATGTGTTTAAGACCGTAAATTTCACTACTATGACTGCTATTTTCTCATTCCTCTCTTCCCAAAACTCTCTCGATATACGAATATTTAGACGTTAAGCAATTAAGACAATTGAGATTTATACGCAAAACACTTATCATTTTACTCGAGTCACATAAAAAAGTACTTAGAAAATGTCCGTTAACAAAGCATGTACACTGTGATATTCATTTTAAAGGATAAAGGTTCATTAGCATTTAGGGTCCTGAATACCCTTTTCGCGAATATTTTCTGTGTAGTCTTCAAATATGCGACCCGCTTTAAGCCCTTTCACGCCCTAGGTCTGTATGAATACAGACTTACTGTACATTTATAGTCTTATAAACGTGCATGAATAAAGAAACATGTATTGATTTCTAGCTACCATATTAAGGTGAAAATAATTTAACTCGCGTGTTCTTGTCTACATTTAATTTTGAATTGAAATGGAAACAACACTATTAACCGGTTTTATATTGCCGTAAAATATTATTGCAATACATGACAACTATTCGCACCTTATCGACATTTAAATATGCTTCCTTTATAACTCTATACTTGTTTTGTAATGTTTGGGATAATTTAAGACCAATACGGAAGCCATGTTCATTTAATAACCTAACGTAGCCTTGAAATTACTCTACCTTAATAAAAGCAGGTAAAAATAACAGGTATGTTGACGTTGTTTAATATCACGCGTGAACTCTGTACCTAAGAATTAAAAACAAAACATTTATATTGCGGTAAAACCGACGTTCGACACAAATATGCAAATGTTTGGTCCAAGACGACCAGCTGATTCAAATGTAGAGTACACTTCCGCACTGCAATTCGTAAAACCATGACCTAAGCGGATTACGCATGATCTATCGTTCCCACTTTTGTTTTGTTTGATGACTTACCTTGTTAAGACCGGGATGTTTTAGTCGGTCGAGACCGGAAACCTTGCTGGCAGACTGTCCGTCTCCACAGCCCCAAAGTCCAATACGATCGCGTTCCATTTCGTCGTGCGTACACTTGCTTCCACTAACTGACAGCGACTGCTTGCCGGCAGTGAATTGAGCGTTACTTTTGTTTTGCAGCGCGGGGGGCGCTGGACTCATCGCGGTCTCGCTCCTGGGAAAACAGGAAAATTTTCAGTGGCATTATTGATACGAACCACAGGATGCGGTTGAAGCCGCTTGATAACAGATGGCGTTGGGTCGATGGCCTCATATCGTGAAAATCAGCCGATGCTATTGTGTGGCGTGAATGTTATCGATGTAATACGTCGTGTGCTAGATATATTATTGTCAATTTTTTTTACTAATAATAAAAGGTTTTAAAATATAATAATTATACAGAGTTATTTTTTAAAGAGTAGTCAAAATTTAAACTTAAGTTGAAATATATAAATAATGATATACCGTTATTGTAGTTTTGTAAATACGAATAAATAAGGCTTCTACTATTATTTGAAATTATCCCAAATTGAGTATGATTTATGGGTAATAACGTTTTTGTCTACCGGTCGACCCTTACGAATGTGTGTGTGCGCAATAAAATCAGTTAAAATAATGTATTACCACGCATTTTGAATTTAAAAGGTAAAAAGACAGAACGTTTGAGATTTTTTTTAATTAACTTTTTTCACCATTTGCCTACATTACTTATTTTGAACCTTCTCTGCAAATTTGGCCGGTTAATGCAAAATAACCCTGTATATACCTACACTTAACAAAACCACTTTTTTTACGACTAACGACACGCTTTAGCTACACTTGGATTGGATCTATTAATGCGGCGTTATTTAGATTTAAGGTAATCAAAGACCATTTTATCATCTTTTCCCTTTTTTTAAAAAAAAAAGGAGAACAATTCCCAAGATTGTATAAAATATACTCTAGATCCCTTCTGGCATTGCCCTCTATCTGTTCGTACAAAATCAGTTCAGCCATTCCGAAGATTAGCCGGGATAGACAGACAGACAATTTTTTCTTAAATGGTTTTTAAACTTCAATAAACTTCAATTTTATTTTTATATGTTACCGTTGTCTTTCTGTTCTATCTGTCTACAGACAGAACAGAAAGAAAACGGTTTGAACCGTCTCATACATAAAAATCATTTGTTGTCCGATAATCTTGCTAAAACTCGAAAACGGCTGGAACGATTTTGGTGAATTTTTTTGTGTGTGTTTGACATCGCGTAGTATTACATTCATAAAAAATCTTATAGTTAATTTGAAATTGTCTAAATTAAAATCTGTAAATAGATAATAGTCCCATACATCAATGGATGTTAAAAGCCCACTTAAGTACCGATACCTTACGTAATAAATAAAAAAATACTAATAATTATTATCTATACATCTACACAAATAAATAAAATTAAAGTGTCTGTTTGTAATGTCAAAATAAAAGCTTTTTACTAAATGCATATGAAAGTATATACGGTATCTGTCTGTCTGTCTGTTTGTTCCGGCTAATCTCCGAAACGGCCTCACCGATTTTGACTTGATGTTTACTGGCAGATAGCTGATGTTATAAGGAGTAACTTAGGCTACTTTTATTAGAAAAAGAATTAGGGCTCCGCAAAAAAATTAAAACCCATGAAATCCATCGAATTAAATTCCACGCGAACGAAGTCGCGGGGAACAACTAGTTAATAATAATTAGATACATACTTAGATTTACATTATTTAGATCCTTATTGGTCAGCTGATTAACAAATAAATGCTTCTTATCAGTCACTTTGGTGATGGTTGAAAATAATACATATACCCATTTCGTTCCATAATATATTGTGTCATGTACCGACTACGGAAAATTCCTAAAAGATGTAATGGCCTACGACAGATGACAACATATTTTTAGACATGGTAGAGCCATGATGCAGCTATATTAGTAGTATAGTTGTAGCACGAAGCCTAACCCTCGACTGAGTCTCGATTCATTCACAGAATACCAGCGTTAAATAGCAGTTTAACGCCTATTACTGGAAATGAGGCATTCGATCTTAGTCCTCACGGCTGACAACGCATCTGCATTTGATTCGTAGTTGAGGATAGATGATGATGTCAATGGGCCGCAGCAACTACTTACTATCAGGTGGACTGAGTGCTCGTTTGTCACCCGTATCCTATAAAAAAATAGCACTCAGTATGAGCCAAATATAAAAAGCAGATTGCCAAGACGAGCAGCGAAAAAAGTTTGAAGAATCTGAATCACTAATCCATCAGTTAAGCGTGGTGGTTACGGTAAATCATTCCTTTAATGGTTAAGTCCATTTCCACCCGTTGACTTTTAAAGGCTAATAGAAACGAAAGAAGATGAAAAACAACACATCCACTATGTCGAAAAACTTTTAAAATAAAATATTATCTGAGCCTAAAATTTCATATATCAAATCATAATTACTCTTTTACTCCTTTTTTAAAAAACGTTAACCCCACACTGGGATTTTCTCCTGTATCGTGGAGGTAGTTTACATACATAAATTGCACAAGGACAAACATCCAGACATGGAACAGTTATTTGTAGGCCATACAGATACTTGTTCCGTGCGGGATTCGAACCCGCGGCCCGCAGCCCCTAACTCATTGCCAAGCCACTGCGCCACGGAGCCGTCAAAATTAATGCATAGCGAGTTAGAAATGAACGCAACTCCGCAGACAAACTATTACATTAGTTTATAATAATTCATTATTGCCCAGCTTTAGTGTCATATGTGCTAGAGTATTAAAGAAAAAAATTCTCAACACAATCATTTCTAAATTTGCAGAATTCAAACTCGTGCATGGCGTTGTGGCTCTACACTCAAGCCGTTGGGTTATTGAGAAAATAATCTCATAATAAAATAATTTATACGTGGTAGAGCCATGCTGCAGCTATATTAGTAGTATAGTTGTAGCACGAATGGGTCTCCTATAAAAAAATTATAATTTAAAATTAAAAATTTTGTACAGCGGACTTCAATATAAGTTATTAAGAATAACTCAAAAACTATTCGTCTGACCTTGATCAAATTCATATGGGACCACACGAGAAGTATCAGCTTTCATATTAAAAAAAAAAACATCGAAATCGATTCACCCAGTAAAAAGTTATGAGGTAACACACATTAAAAAAAACATACAGTCGAATTGAGTACCGTCTTCTTTTTGGAAGTCGGCAGACAAATAAGAATGAATTGTGCGGTGTATTGATATAATTTGCTCAACCATTGTGTTGCAAACGCGAGCGACCTAGTGCGGAGCGCTGCGATTAATTACGCGAGTGGAGCAGTGTGTGGGCAGAGAGGGCAACATCGCGGCAGCGCGAGGAGCAGAGCGAAGAGCAGCGCGAGGAGCAGAGCGAGGAGCAGCGTGAGGAGCATAGTGTGGCTTAGCCATAATATTTTATGCGAGCGTGTTCCTTCCCAGATCGAGTCGACCAACTGTGTTAGAGCCATATTACAGCTGCAGAGCGCTTCTACCACAAATAAAATTTATATTATAATTTATTAATGAAACTCACAGGCCTTCAATAATATGTTAGAGATCAAATAATTACGGTTTGTCATTCAATCGAATTGCTTACGGAAAACAAACTGCAATTACTTCCTTATTACATAAAAAAAACTTGGCTCTAACCAAAAACCCGAATCGCCTTTCCGCCTTCTGGTAAAAATAAGTTTCGAAAGACATCGCGAAAGAACTATGAAGGAAAAAAACAAAAAAAAAAGTTAAATTTTTTAGGTACGAGCTAGTGCGACTTCGCAGAAACTTAAAAGAATCTTAAAAAAATAATGGATGCAAAAAAAGACCGCATCCCGTCCCAATCGGCCGACCTATAGTGCCAAACACGGCGGCAAGCTGCAGATCGCAACTGCGATGAGAGCGTGAGTGGCTCCGTACTCCGGATCAGACAATGGTCCGAAGGGCCCAGAGGGGCATCGACGGAGACCTGATATCCTTGCGGATAAGAGGTCAGCAGAAGGTCCAACAGGGAAGGTACATGATCCTCTACATCTGGGATTCGCGTAAGCGAAGTAACCAGTTATGTTAGACCATATGCTAAGGAAAAGTCATAGACAGGTCTACCCGCATGATCGGTTAAACGGGAACCAAGCCATTCAGCGTGGTGGGCGTTAAAATCACCGAGTATTACGATTTCTGCGGATGGAACCTGTTGTAGCACGGAGTCTGCAGCGTCTCTTCTAATTGTTAGAATTCTATAAATTTTTATAGAATTCTATAAATTTTTATAGAATTCTATAAATTTTTATAGAATTCTATAAATTTTTATAGAATTCTATAAATTTTTATAGAATTCTAACAATTAGCATTGGTATCCAATTAAAGTTGATATTCATACACATTAAACGTCTACAACCGAATGGCCAAGCATTGGTAAAGCGTATAAATCTGACTACTATATTGCGGGTCTCAGATTCGAAATCCAGTCGAAGCCAACATTTTGTTGTAAAACCAGTGACGTAGTGGTGGGGGAGGGGGGGGACTAGCAGTGAGCCACATGGCCCCGGTCGGGAAAATTTTAGGGGTCGGCATTTTGATTTAAATATAACCTACGTTGTAGCATTCCCGTGAAGTGGCGTGCAAGAATATCTACTATCCCATAATATCTTCCCGTGGGTGTCGTAAGAGGTGACAGAGGGAAAATGAGGCAGAAACTGGGCAGCAGCATCTTTCTGATAACAGCAAAACAATAATAAAATACTGCGGTTGCCAACCCGCTAGCCAAGCGTGGCACCTATGGCGATATACCACTTGGTGGAGGCCTATGTTCAGCAGTGGATTTGTGAAGGCTTGTAATGATGACGATGATGGTACGTTATAGCATTAATAGTGATGGTTCTAAAAACAGAGATATTCTCCATACACACATTGTATAAAAGGGTAGGATAAGTATAATTGTGTAATGTAATTGATTTATTAATTTATATGAAGACTTCAGAAGACTTATCCATATTATATTTTTAAAGTACTTACTAAAATGAGTCAGGCTACTGGGTAAATACAAATTGTGGATTTTCTGTGGTGACGGTGTAAGAATATCAACTACCCCATATCATCTCGTAGGTGGCAACTATGGCAAATATCTATGGGGGAGGCCTATGACCAGCTGTGGACTTTAATAGACTGTAACGGTACGTTATGGTTTACGTGATTGTTCCTGTCATACAAACTAGTCTACCTGCGGCATCACTGCACGAGCACACGGATATGTAACATTTGCCTCGATGTTATTGCGTTATAAAAATAAATTATTTTTGGCGCTATATTGTCCCTAGTGCACCAGCGCAGTTAATAGCTTCCGACAGTATTCAGAAATTGTCACCGTGTGTCTGGAGGATTTCAATATTATTTTTTCCATCTTGTCTCTCTATCCAACTGTATTTATTTAATATTCACTAACATATTTGCGTACTATATACGACATACTGTATAAACCTAATAAATATTATCTGATGTCAATTATCAAGATTACAACAAAATATGAAGTATGAAAAACTCTCACAAAGTCAAAATTTTAATTTAGTCTTTTAACTCGCATTATTATGAGGATGGAGGAGGAGGAAGGAGGAGGATGAAGGACTATAACCTTCATTATTGGGCTATGTGCAATTTGTGTTTCGGTTAGTAATTTTAAAACTTACCGCTTATTTTGAGAATCGCTCGTGCCATTCAACTGACACACGTCAATTTTAGCGACAGATTTGACTTTACGCGACAGATATTCCATTTTTGAAAATTAATTTTATGACGAATTGGTATATCACAGAGTAGTAAAAAAAATATTTTAAATTCTGCACTAGGTATTGAATCGAAATTTAGAATACATCTGCAAATAATAATTAATTAAATATATTAGTTCATAAACTTTCCGAGTTCCAATCCTGTTGAGCTCTACTGAACTCGTAAAGACGACTAAAGATTATGACCTACTGTGATCACGCTAAATACCTATATGACCTCAACCTTATCAGTTATTAATAAAATGCCTTGTTAATAATTACAGTGAGACAATTTCAACACATCGTGACACATCAATGTAGATAAATAAAATGTGTGGAGGAGCAAAATTGTTGCACGCAATATACGAGTATTAGCTTTAGTCTTTACTTGACGAGGAAGCACTTATTTTAGTGAATTTAAGAAAGTAAATAGCAATAATTATATCTTTTATGCTAATAAAATGTATTGATTTTACTTATTATTGTGGTTTAAAATTACTCAATATATTTATTCGAAGTGAGAGTCAGTATGTTTTAATGTTAATCGCTCAACCAAGCTGCTGATTTTCAACGGTTTTTCTTGAAATTTGGCAAAAGGAATCATGAGGATAAGGCAAAGAATACCTTTCTGGCAATGATCTGTTAATAAGTCTTTCGATTTTTACATACTTGTCTTATTTTACGTAGTAGAGCCATGCTGCAGCTAAATTAGTAGTATAGTTGTAGCACGAATCGGTCGGCTCGAACGGGGAAGGACTACGTTCTCACAGAATACCAACGTATATAATAGCAGTTTAACGCTGCTGTTTTGTATGGTGAGTGTAGAGAACCAGAGACCCTTTTTACTGGAAACGAGACATTCCATCTTAGTCCTCACGGGTGACAATGGATCTGCATTTTGATTCGTAATCGTTGATAGATGTAGATGTATATGGGCCGCAGCAAACACTTAACATCAGGTGGACTGTGTGCTCGTTTGTCACCCTTATCTCAAACGTCTTCCCCGATTACGAGTCTGTGTAGCTGGAAATAAATTGAAAGTGAAAGTCACTCATGCCGTGTTGTGACAGTATAAGAAATTATATTACAATCTAAGGATATGTAGCGTTATTAATTTATTTTTTGGATAATATTTTTCCTTGTTCTATGTCATTTAAATTATGCTACCCAATATGCCCTATTGGAATTTGAGCGGGAACTTGACCACCTGCATATTGTTGCTGTATTATTGTTTAAATAAAGGTATTAATTCGAATTTGTTAAGTAAATTAAGGTGGTGAGATTTCGTGTATTAAATTTTTGCGCATGGGAACAGTTATTGGAAAGTATGAAACAGGTGCCTACGATGGTGATGTGAACCTCAAGTTATTGTCTATTTAGGCGCCTTGAGATACTTTCGTAATCGACTGTTTGCTGCCTCAAGCTGCCGCCAAAATCCCCCTAAAACTTATCAACGTGACGCATCAACATATTGTGATGAAGTTTTGAATCAAATGATTATAGACGATATTTTTTTATTATTTGATATTGGCAAAAGTACAACCGTACAAGTTCATTGCTTAAGAAAGTAAGAATATGACGTAATGATTATATACTCCTTGCTCGATATATTGATCTTAGTCAACGTTGAAGGCTGACAAACTGGCGCAAAGTCCATCTCATGTTAAGTTGATGCAGTGGCCCATAGTCACCTACATCTGTTCCCAATTCAGAACCAAACTGTAGATGCGTGGTCGATAACCTCTGAGAACTGAGATAGAATGCCTCATTTCCAGTAAAAAAGTCTCCGGCTCTCTACACTTATCATACGAAACACTACATTAAGCTGTTATATTACTCTGGCGTTATGTGAAAGGCTGAGCCGACCCATTTGTGCTGCAGACATCTGAGACATAATATAGCTGTAGCGTGACTCCATTACTTTATATTATTTTTTTGTTCAAGTTGATAATAATAAAGCGCTTTTTAGGGTTCCGTACCTCAAAAGGAAAAAACGGAACCCAATCCAATAAGGATCACTTTGTTGTCCGTCTGTCTGTCTGTCAAGAGCCTTTTTCTCAGGAACGCGTGGAGGCATCAAGCTGAAATTCATATCAAATACTCATGTTTACTGTCCCTTGGAGCTGTGAAAAAATCAAACTTCTAAGCCAACGCAATCAAAAGATACAGCCGTTTATGCCGCATATTTTCGATATTCGCAAGGGAATCAAAAACTACAGGGTACTTCCCGTGAACTCAGTATATTAAAATTTGGTATCATCATCATCATCATCATTACGGCCCTTCACAAGTCCACTGCTGAACATAAGCCTCCCCCAAAGAATGCCACAAAGCACGGTCCTGAGCCACCTGCATCCATCGACTTCCTGCATATCTTACCAGGTCGTCACTCCATCTAGTGGGGGGACGCCCTACACTTCGCCTGCCGGTACGAGGCTGCCACTCGAGAACCTTTCTTCCCCATCGGTTGTCGGTTCTTCGAGCTATATGGCCGGCCCATTGCCACTTCAGCTTACTAATCCGTTGGGCTATGTCGGTCACTCTGGTTCTACTGCGGATATCCTCATTTCTGAGTTTATCAAACAGAGAAACTCCAAGCATAGCCCTCTCCATAGCTCGCTGAGCGACCTTGAGCTTCCTCATCCGGCCAGCAGTGAAGGACCACGTCTCAGTTCCGTATGTCATCACTGGCAACACGCACTGGGTGTACAGTCTCGTTTTCAAGTTTTGAGGTATACCTGACGAGAAGATGTGCCGTAATTTCCCGAACGCTGCCCAGCCGAGTTGAATCCGTCGATTGACCTCTCGGTCGAAGTTGGACTTACCTAGTCGGACTATTTGTCCCAGGTAAACATACTCGTCAACAACTTCGAGCTTAGTGTTCCCAACAACTACCGCCATAGGTGTGACATGGACATTAAACATGATGTTTGTTTTGTCCATGTTCATCTTAAGACCTATCCGTTGGGAAACACTATTGAGGTCATTGAGCATAATGCTTAGGTCCTCCAGCGATTCTGCCATAAGGACTATATCGTCGGCAAATCGAAAGTGAGTGATGTACTCGCCATTGATGTTGATACCGTATCCTTTCCAGTCCAGAAGCTTGAAAACATCTTCCAATGCAGCGGTAAAGAGTTTCGGGTTATGACGTCACCCTGTCTTACACCTCTCTGCAATTGGATAGGTTTCGTACTCTGATTCTGTACTCGGATAGCCATCGTAGCCCTACTGTACAAGCACTTCAACACTTCGATATACCGACAGTCAACTTGGCATCGCTGAAGGGACTGCAGCACCGCCCAAATTTCGACGGAATCAAAGGCTTTCTCATAGTCCACATACGCCAGGACATAGTGGCAAATTGTACTTCTCGGACTTCTGTACAATTTGCCGAAGGGTATGTATGTGGTCATAGACCTAAAAGCCTTTTCGGAAACCGGCTTGTTCGGGAGGCTGGAAGTCGTCAAGTCTGCGCGCGAGATGATTCGTAATGACTCTCGAAAACAGCACGTAAACGCGGCTCAGAAGGGAAATCGGTCTGTAGTTCTTCAAGAGAGCGTTGTCGCCTTTCTTGAAGAACAAGACCACCGCACTTCTGCTCCACGCCTCCGGTGTAATGCCACCATGGAGGACGGAATTAAAGAGCTTCTGAAGGACTTCAAGTACCGGTTTTCCACCCGCTTTCAGAAGCTCCACTGTAATTCCATCCTGGCCTGGGGCCTTGCCGTTTTTAAGGTGCTGGAGAGCCATTCTAATCTCGCTCAGACTGACGTCCGGGATATCATCGGAATAATGTCGGATAAGACTCGCTCGTTACTCACACTTGCGTGTGGCTCCAACGATGACGTGTACAGCTGCCCATAGAACCTCTCAATCTCACTCAAAATCTCAGGTGCCCCGGAAACGATGCTGCCACATTCGGTCTTCAGCTTTGACAGTTGGCTCTTTCTGGCAGACAGATCTCTGGCAAAGACTTTGGAGCCTTGGTTCCGCTCGATCGCTTCTTCAATACGAGCTGTATTGAAGTTGCATAAGTCCCGCCGCATGCATTTGGAGATCTGTCTGTTCAGATGCCTGTATGCTGTCAAATCTGTTGAAGAATGTAGCTTCATCTCCCGTCTAACAGCCATGAGATTTAGAGTGTGATCGGAGAGTTTTTGTGTTCTTCTGCGGCGGGTCTTGCAGAACTTAGCTCCGACCGCATGGACAGTTTCCACGAGCTTGTCATTCAAATCGTCCACTTCATTGCAGTCTTCTAGGCACTGAAAACGGTTTTGCAACTCGAGCTGAAAGGTTTCGGGACTTTGGATTAGAGCACGAGGGGGACGGAGCGTTGACTTCATTAGACGAGACCTCTCCAACTTAACGTTTAGGTTCAGTGTGTAACTCTAACCATTCGGTGATCGCCGCCGGTATATTGGGTTTTGGAGGAATGCGTGGCTCTAGAGATATCCTCATACATTTCCTCCACCTCCTGATCGGGGTGTGCCGAGGTTGGTGCGTAAACCTGTATGACCTTCAGCGAATACCGTTTGGTGATTCTGAGTATAAGGTACGCAACCCTCGTCGACACACTCTCAATCTCTACAACGTTGTTAACGAGAGACTTGTGGACGATAAATCCGACACCTCCTTGGGACAGATGGTCGCCCTCCTGGTAATAGAGCAAGTTGCCGGATTCGAGGATTACCGTGTCCTCCCCCTCTCTTCGGACTTCGGATAATCCTATAATATGCCAGCGTAACTTGTCTATCTCTTCTTCCAGCTCCACAATCTTCTCGTCAGTCCTCAGGGTGCGTGCGTTGTATGTTGCCAGGTCGAGTCGTTGTAGGTGGCAACCGAACCTCCACCGGAGATTCTTAGCACCCCCTGCCCCGCCGTTACCATGGTCGCCACCGTAGCCAGGAATAGCGGGGCCGCCGGGGACTGGGGGCCGTCTCTTCGTAACTTTCATTATGGGGGGTATATTGCCATAGTTGCCACGCTTGGCGAGCGGGTTGGCAAC